CAGTGGTTTGTTATCTGGTTTGTAGTTGGTGCTGGGGTTGCGGTAGGGAGTTGAGAGTGGTGCGGGAGAGATGTTGAAGTGTTCCCCCAGCTGCTCTGCATACTTGGAGGCTGACAGATGGATTGCTTTTGGCGCGTAAGTGATGTTTAACCCCAAAAACTGCTTCACTTCGAGGTTGATGGTGATGTCTACGCGCTGCGCCAGGTTCTCCTGAAACTAATACAGGTGCCCGTGTACAGCAGGTCGTCGACGTAGACTGTCACGAGGATGTAGTCTCCACTGAAGTGAAGACGATACATTTCCGGGTCGTGTGGGAGCTGCTTGAAGCCGATTTCTAGGAGAATTTTGTGCAGGTGCTGCTGCCAGAGGCGAGGCGCCTGCTTGATCCCGTAGAGGGACTTCTTCAGTTGACAGACCCTGGGATCACCTTCCCCGTAGGTGTGCGGGTGCTCCACAAAAATGGTGGCGTCCACCAACGCGTACAAAAACACGTTCTTTACGTCGACCTGTCGCAGTTGTCAACGGGAGTTGTTGTTGGCCCCGTCCTCGCTTGGGCGGAGCCGACTTCGTGGTTGGGTGTACGGGAGGTACAGCCGACTTGTTGCAGTGGGCGACGCCGACTTGGGCGAGCTGGTCGACGGGGTTGGTCGACTTGCATGGGGCCACTGCAATGCCGCCGACTTGGTGGTCGGCGATGTGGCACGTCGTCCCGGAAGTCGGTGCCGACTTGCAAGGTCACCGACTTGGGAGGTCGCCGACTTCAAGAGGTCGGCCCGGAAGTCGGCGCCGACTTGGTGACGTCGACTTTGGGTAGCCGACCTGGGTGGTCGGCTGACAACTGCGCTGGTCGACGTGGAGCTGGTCGACCAGGAGTGACATCGACCTGGAGCTGGTCGACCAGAGGTATGGTCGACCTGGTGAGGTCGACTTGGGGTGGTCGTCGACTTGGGAGGTCGATGAGCACATACAGGAGCAGCTGGTCGACATGGTTGCCCGGTCGACCGGGATAGCTGGGTGACGAGGTTCTGCGAAGGAGTGCCACGGTCGCCCAGGCAAAGTTGGCGAGTCCGACCTCGGTGGTGGTATCCCGAGGTCGACGTGGCGGATCAGGTGGAGGTGACAGCACGAGGATGACTCGGTGCGTGCGTTGTTCAGGTGACGAGGCTTAGCCCTCCAATCATCTACGAGCACTTGCAAAGTAGGTGCGCTGCTGTTCTGCGGGAGCAATGCTGGCACGCCGTCAACCTGCACCGTTGGCACGCCGTCGACTTTGCAATGCTGGAGCGCGGTCGACCAAGTCGTGTTGGAACGCGGTCGACCATGCTGTGCTGGCAGTCGACCGACCTGAATGCTAGCTATGATGTAGCCTTGCCATGCCAACTGATTTGGACCATTAATGTCAACTTTCTCTTGCCAAATTGCCCCGTGAACTAGCAAGCAGTGTGAGCACTAGGAAAATGACTAAGGACCAACGAACGCAGAGATCACACGAGCACCCGTGCCTAGCCCGTAGTCTAGCTCCCGTTGTAGTAGTTATCTCCGCAGCAGTGGCAGGTGCTTCGCGGCGGCAATGGCGAGTAGATTCCGGACAGAGGTGTGGCGACTGACGGAAGCGAAGGTTTGTTCGAAGTCGATGCCATGGCGCTGATCATACCCGCGTACGACCCAGCGTGCCTTGAAACGCTCAATAGTGCCGTCAGCGTTAGTTTTCAGGCGAAAACCCCACTTCCTGCTGAGCACCCTCCTCCCCTTCACTGCTGCACGGTCGACTAGGACCCAGGTGTCACGCGATTTCAGCGCCTTTAGTTTCGCATCCATCGCAGCACGCCACTCCTTGGCGTGAGGACCGGTTAGGGCCTGGCGAGGATTCTTTGGCTCCACGGCCCGTGCAAGAGTAGAGACAGATGTGTGCAGGCCGAGAAGTTGAAGGCCTGATACATTGGTGGTGTCTGTGTTGGTGGGGACTTCCACCACGTCGTCGTCTCCGCTCTTATAGCCGGGTGCTGCGGTGCTTGGCTCTGCTTGGCGCCGTGATGGTTCTGGCGCGGGGTCGTCATCGCTGTCATCGTCGTCGTCGTCGCGCGGGCGAGGAGGAATGCCGGGATGTTCGTCGGTGTCATCACGGTCTAGTGCTGTCGCTGCTGCTGTGTCTTGTGGAGTCGCGAAGCTGCGGCCGCTATTGACATAGCCGCGTGCCTGGTTTCGGCGCTCGTCCTCGATCCACTGCTTCAGGGTGAGTGGTTCATAGGAGGATGTCACGCGCAGGAACGATCTCGTTGCTGTCGATGTCGAGAATGAGCCAGCCTTATTGCTCGTGACTGAGCCCCAAATGAACTCCCCAGCGCGCACGATGAACGAACTTGCCGATTGTTGCTGAAGTCGGCCGATATTGCACCATGCACCCCCAAACCCTCAGCATGGAGGGGTCTCCCCTTGAGCCGGTCCACTTCATGTGAGGGGACAGGTTATCCCTGTTGGCGGTGGTGGAGAAGAGGTTGTGCAGGCGCACCGCGTGATTCATGGCATAGGGCCAAAATTTCTTTGGCAGGCCGGATTGGTTCATGATGGCGCTGACTTTGGTCATGAGTGTGCGGTTGACCCTCTCGGCAACACCTTGCTGCGGGTGAGCATAGGGGAGAGAAATCTCATGTTTGATCCCCTTCTCGGTGAGTACACTCTCCAGCTCATTGCTTCGAAATTCCTTTGCCCCATCACTCTGCCAGATCTTCAGTTTCCTTCCGAGCTGGCGTTGCGCGTGCGCGAGGAAGATGTGGAATACCTCCGGAGCCTTGGACCGGGCGTCGACGTTGGCGACCCACACGTGGCGTGAGTAGGCGTCGATGAAGGTCGGTGTGTATTTTTTGCCATTGAGTGCGTCGCAGGTGAGCACGATGAAGTCACTGTACACCTTCTCCAACTTTTTGTAGCGGTTGGTACTCGGCTCCAGAGAGGGATAGGCGGTGTGGGAGAGTGCAGCTGTGGGACAGACAGTGCAAGTGGTTGGATGAGGGGTGGTGTTTTGTAATTCCGTTCCGTCGGGGCGCAGCAGTGCTCCTGGCGGGAATACTTTAGCGCGGAGGCAGTTGGCGAGAGTCTGGCGCGAGGGGTGTCCCATCCGCTGGTGCCAAAGATTGTCCTCGACGCGAATGCCGGAGGTACGCTTGTAGCGGGTGTGATGTTCTGCTACCTCCTCCGCCGTGAGTTGCGGGATCTGGAGTGGAGGTTCTTCCTCTTCTTCTGGTTCTGCTTCATTGTCCGGCTCCTCTGTTTCTGCTTCTGTCGTTGCCTCCTCTTTTGCAGGTGCCGTTGTGAGGTAGAGCGCGAAAAATTCGCGGTCGGGGATGATGGTGAGCGGGGTCGTGGTGCCTTCGATGAAGCGTGCAAACGGATCTGGGCGGGAGATTAGACCAAGGGAGTCCCGAGGAGGAGTTGGTGGTATATTCCCCTCCTCAATCTCCGACCAGGGATCGGTCCAGCGATGAGGTGAGCGAGGTGGTTCACCAGTGTGGGGGTTCCGCCCGAGGGGAATGGCGACTCGAGGTGGTGCTTCGCCGCGCTCAGCTTGCATTTCGCGTGCAGCTTCCTCCAGTTCTTCTTGGGTAAGCTCCCCTTCATCGGGTTCAGCTGTTCCCCATCCTCCTGTGGTAACCGTGCCACTGGCGCTGGCTCCCCATGCTCCAGTGGCGAATGCCCAGGTTGCGCCGTGTTCTGGGTTGGTATCCTCGTCGCCCCATCCTCCGTGTGCTGATTGTTCGTCCCATCCTGCCGCGATGCGCTCCTCATACAGATTTTGCTTCTTTTCCGCTCGTACCTTGTCTCGTTCTTCCTGAACACTCAGCTCCTCTGGTGCGTTAGGGTCTTTCCAAGTTGGATCAATCTCGTGACGGTAGTACTCGCGGGTGTATGGGCGCGGTTCTCCGTCTTCGTCGAAGGTGGTGGTGCTGGCTTCTAGAACGAAGCGAAGGGTTTCCGAATAGGGCCTTGGTCTGTTCACCCTCTGCTGCCCGAATTGCTTGTTCGACTCACCGAAGATACGGTGAGATGACATGGCAAGTTCTTCACGTGTCATGCCTGTAGGTTCTGCCTCAGCGCTCGCCGCCTCCTGAATTGCTGCGTACTCCCGCTCAACTTGCTCCGTGCGGCTTGCCGTGGGTGTGTGGCATGTTGTGCACAACCCGTTGATGTCTGGCTCGTGCAGGTCGATCTCGCGGGGGTGAGGGCTGCGGCGAACCCACGGTCGTCCGTCCGGATGCTCCCATGACTCCTGGCTCATGAAGGCGAACTCGAGGGGAACAAGATCCACGAGCTCGTCCGATGATGCTTGACAGGGAGGTTTGTCAAAGTCCAGGATGTAGATCCCGTTGTTTGAGCGGGCTCGTCCGATGTATTTGAACGTCTCAGGAGGAGTGTTCGGGGGAGCGTAGGTAAGGATGAGGTCGCGTGTGGCAAGATCCGTGTGAATTATGACGCCACAGTCGCGGAGCTGTCCAACAGAGGGCAGATTGAAGCGGAGGTTTGGGACATAGAGTACGTCGTTGAATGAGATGTGGGTGTTACTGTCTCGTGCTTGCAGGACGACAAGGCCTTGTGAGTTGGCGCGCAACTGCTCGTTGTTGGCGACGGTGACGTAGGTTGCGGGAGCGCGACTTAGGCTAGAAACGTATCGCGTGGATCCCACCATGTGCTGTCCGCAGCAGCTGTCCAGGTACCAGGTGTTATAGTTGTCGGTGTTGTTTCGGCGCAGGAGTAGCACCAAAGTGGCCTTGTAGTGCCTTTGAAAGGAAGGGTCTTCGTCCTCCTTCCAACCCACTGGTACGTAGTGTTGATTGTCGTGCGGCGGGCTTTCCCGCAATGTGATTGGTTGATTCCAATCCTGCTCGTCCTCGTCGTACAGGTAATAGTGGTCTTCAGTGAGGGGATTATTCCACCCCTCTTCTGGTTCCAGAAGTCTGTAGGATTTATATGACAAAGCTATTCTAGGCTATAGTGGGGTAGCACATATGGGGTACCACTTTCTAGGTTTTGTACTTGTACCCAAGTTTCCCTTAGTCAATCCATTCTCGTTCATTCTCACATGGTATCGAGCAGGTTCCCCTATGGGAACTGTTCCTACGGCCCACCACCTTTTTTTTTCCTGCCCGGAGCGCGCTCTACTCTGCCCGAGTCGCGCTCCCCTCTTTCGACCCTGTCGCGCCGCCTTAGCGGCCCCGTCGCGTCGTGCTTGCGGCCCCGTCGCGTCGCCCTCGCGGCCCCGTCACGTCGCGCCGCCCTAGCGGCCACGTCGCGCCGCCCTCACGGCCCCGATCCGCCGCCCTCGCGGCTCCGTCGCGTCGCGCCGCCCTTGCGGCCCGTTCGCGCCGCCATCGCGGCCCTTTCATGCCCCCCTCGCGGCCTCTTCAAGCCGCCCTCGTGACCTCCCTCCTAGCCGCCCTAGCGGCCCCGTCGCCTACCCCTGCGGCCCCAGCGCCGCCCTTCCCGGCCCCGGCGCCGCCCTTCTTGGCCCCGGCACCGCCTCTGCTGGCCCCGTCGCCTACCCTGCTGGCCCCGTCGCCTACCCTGCGGCCCCGGCGCCGCCTCTGCTGGCCCCATCGCCTACCCTGCGGCCCCGGCGCTACCCAGCGAGGCCCCGGCGCCGCCTCTGCTGGCCCTGACGCCTACCCTGCGGCCCCGGCGCTACCCTGCGGGGCCCCGGCGCCGCCTCTGCTGGCCCCGTCGCCTACCCTGCGGCCCCGTCGCTACACTTCCCGGCCCCGGCACCGCCTCTACCGTCCCCGCCGCCGTCCCCACGCGGCCCCGCCGTCACCACCGAGCCGCCGGCGCCGCCGAGCCGCCCGAGCCACCTGAGCCACCCGACCCACCTGAGCCGCCCGAGCCGCCCGAGCCGCCCGAGCCGCCCGAGCCGCCCGAGCCACCTAAGCCGCCCAAGCCACCGCGCCACCTGAGCCGCCCGAGCCGCCGGGTCGCCGAGCCGCCGAGCCGCCGTACCGCCGAGCCGCCGAGCCACCAGAGCCACCGAGTCGCCGAGCCGCAGTTGCTGCCGAGCCGCCGTACCGCCGAGTCGCCCGAGCCGCCAGAGCCGCCGAGTCGCAGAGCTGCATTTCCTGCCGAGCCGCCGAGCCGCCCGAGCCGCCCTGTCCGGTAAGAGCAGCGCCTCTATCACTGCACTGGCCTTACCCTACTGTTCGCGCTCCTAGTCTACTGCTGTCATGGCTACCCCTAGTGTCCTCGCTTTTGACGCTGAGGGTCGAGCCATTGACTTTGACGTCTAGGTAGATGACCTGCAGCTTTTCCTACAGTGCGATAGGGCAGACGGTCTCTCCCTCTTTGACCTCACTTCTGGTGCCTCTCCTGCCCCTGCTGCTGATGCTGACGCCACTGTTCGCTCACAGTGGGCCACACGCGATGCTGCTGCACGTCTTGCTGTGCGTCGCCACCTGCCTACCTCTGAGCGTGCGCACTTTAGCCCGTACAAGAGTGCTCAGACCTTGTACGACGCTGTAGTTGCACACTACTCCTCCCCTGCCACTGCTGCACTGAACCGCCTCATGCTACTGTACCTCTTCTTTGACCTTGCTGCCTTTCCCACAATCACTGACCTCATTACGCACCTCCGCACTAGTGACACTCGCTACCTCGCTGCGCTTCCTGCTGAATTCTGTGCCAAGAACCCCCCCCCGATGTACATCACCCTCTACTACATAGTCACCCGGCTCCCAGACTCTCTCCGCGTACTTAGGGACCACTTCCTCTCAGTTTGCCCCACCACTCTCACCGTTGACCTCCTCGTGAAGGCCCTCCTAGCGGCAGAGAAGAGCATAGTCGCTGTAGGAGCCTCTCGTGGTGACCCTCGCACCCCCGTCTTTGAGGGGTGTTCCCCCTCTCCCCTTTTGCCCTCTGTTGCCTCTGCTGCTGCGGCCGACCTCGTTGGTCTCGAGTCGGTCGGTGCTGCGTCTGCCCCGAGCGGGAGACGCCGCACCGGCAAGGGCAAGGGGGGCAAGGGCGCTGGAGGGGCGGGCGGGGGCAGTGGAGGTGGCGGTGGCAGCAGTGGAGGGGGTGGGGGTGGTGGTGGGAGTGGTGGCGGGGGTGGAGGTGTCGGTGGCGGCAGTGGAGGCGGAGGCGGAGGCGGCGGTGGCGGTGGGGGCGGAGGTGGCGGAGGTGGCGGCGGAGGAGGAGGTGGCGGCGGAGGAGGCGGAGCTGGTCGGGGTGGCGCTGCGCAGAGGGTCGGCTCCGGTGGTGGTCAGCGCCAGCAGCAGCAGCGCACTCGTGAAATCCCCCCCCCCCTCAGCAGCTCCGTGAGTGGTACGCTGCACGCCAGCGGGGTGGGGGTACTGGTCCGTGCACCTACGTCCTACGCACCAGCGACCGCGCGTGTGAGCAGTGCGGGGGTGCGCACTCCACCCAGCGCTGCTCTGGCCGCCTGACGGACGCTTGGCGTCACCAGTTCCCTGAGGCCACTGAGATCCCTCGCTGGGGTGAGCTGTCTAGGGCGGGAGTAGCTATCTTTGACTTTGACTTTGATGCTATTCTTGCTGCCATGTATGCTGTGACTACTAGTGATGAGGGTGACGGTTACCGGTGTTTTCTGCCCGACCCGGGCATTGAGACTGCTGCTCTAGGTACTGGTGAGGCTGTCAGAATCCAAACCACTAGACCATTAGGATAAAAGGGCTTGTTTCAGTAGCGGGTCAGTGCGCCCATAACCCCCCAGGCGAATGCGCCTGTAACCCTCTCCTAGGATCAATCGGGGATCACCAGTGGACCTCTGACACCCCCCCGCACTGGGATGCCCGAAGTGCATACACTGGGATTCGAACCCGAGACCTTTGCTCTGATACCATGTCAGAATCCCAACCACTAGACCATTGGGATAAAAGGGCTTGTTTCAGTAGCAGGTCAGTGCGCCCATAACCCCCCAGGCGAACGCGCCTGTAACCCTCTCCTAGGATCAATCGGAGATCACCAGTGGACCTCTGACAGAGGCTGCTGCTCTAGGTGCTAGCGAGGCTGTTGCTCTAGGTGCCAGTGCGTCTGCTTCCTCAGGTGCAGGTGAGTCTGCTCTCTCAGGTACCGCGTCAGCTTCGGCCTCCCACACCTTCACCCTTGACTCGGGGGCTTCTCGCTCCTTCTTTCGAGACTGCACCACACTCACGCCGCTTGGCCGGCCAGTTGCAGTCTCTCTGGCAGACCCCTCTGGGGGTCCTGTCCTTGCTCGCTTCTCCACTGTCCTCCCGTGTCCGCCGGCCCCCTCTAGCACCCTGTCTGGTCTTTACCTCCCCTCGTTCTCTACGAACTTGGTGAGTGGTGCTGACCTACAGGATGCGGGGGTTCACCAGTTCACTCCTGCGAGTAAGCGGGTGACCCACTGCACGGACGCTCAGACAGGCCGACACCTGGCCAGGTTTACACGTCGGCCAGGGTCGAGCCTGTACACACTGACCACTGAGTCTCCTCCTGTCCCTACGTCTGGTCAGGTAGCTGCGTCGGGTCAGGTGTTTGCTGCAGCGTCCAGGTCTGGTCCTGAGTCTGCCCCTTGCTCGTGTCGCCTCCTGTCTTACGAGACTCTCCTCTGGCACCACCGCCTTGGTCACCCCTCCCTGCTTCGTCTCTGAGGCATGGCCTCCTGTGTCCTTGTCTCTGGTCTTCCCTGGTCCCTCCCTCCCCTTCCCCCGGGGCCTGCCCCTGCCTGCGTCCCCTGCGTCGAGGGGCAGCAGCGTGCTGCCCCTCACTCCTCCCAGTTTCCTTCGATAGAGGCCCCACTGCAGACGCTTCACATGGACGTGTGGGGCCCGGCCTGCGTCCGTGGACAGGGTCACGAGCGCTACTTCCTGCTGGTGGTTGACGACTACTCGCGTTACACCACAGTCTTCCCCTTGCGCAGCAAAGGTGATGTCACTGAGGTGTTGATCGACTGGATCCGCGTAGCTCGTCTCCAGCTCAGGCAGAGCTTCAGCTCGGACTTTCCTGTTCTGCGTCTGCACTCTGACAGAGGCGGAGAGTTCTCTTCTGGCCTTCTGCGAGCCTACTGTTGTGCACGAGGCATCCGCCAGACCTTCACGCTTCCGGACTCTCCACGGCAAAATGGGATTGCTGAGCACCGCATTGGCATGGTCATGGACGTCGCCCGTACGTCCATGATGCATGCGGCTGCCCTTATTTTCTGTGGCCGTTTGCGGTTCGGTACGCGGCGCATCAGATCACCCTTCAGCCCAGGGTCTCCATGCCGGAGACCTCCCCAACTTTGCTGTGGACCGGGAAGGTTGGCGATGCGTCTACGTTCCGTGTCTGGGGATCTCAGGCGTTTGTCCGCGACTTGTCTGCGGACAAGCTGTCCCCTCGTGCTACTCCTTGCGTCTTCCTTGGCTCCCCCCCTGATGCGCCTGGGTGGCAGTTCTACCACCCCACCTCTCGCCGTGTTCTGTCCTCCCAAGACGTCACGTTTGACGAGTCGGTCCCCTACTACCGCCTCTTCCCCTACTGCACTCCGTCCCTCCCCCCGCCACCGCTCTTCCTTGTGCCAGGTCCCCCCCCGGTAGACCCCCTCCACCCTCAGGGTCCTGCCCCTTCACGTGTGTCCCAGGTAAATGCAGTCGAGCCTGTCAAGGTTACTGGTAACTTTGGTGCTGCTGAGGGTGCTGAGCCTTGGGGTACTCACTCTGGGGGTGCTGAGCCTGTGGGTGCTACGCCTGGGGGTGCTGAGCCTGAGGGTGCTACTACTGGGGGTACTGAGCCTGGGGGTGCTGAGCTTGGGGGTGCTACGCCTGGGGGTGCTGAGCCTGGAGGTGCTACGACTGGGGGTGCCGAGCCTGGGGGTGCTACACGTGGAGTTAATGAGCCTGGGGGTGCGGAGCCTGAGGGAGCTGGGCCTGCTCATGTCGCGTCTGGCGGTACTGTGCCAGAGGGTTCTCCGGGTGCTTCGTCTCGGTGGGAGCCACTCTCTCCACAGGAGCTGCGCGAGTGGTTTGCCCGGCGCTGGAGGCGTGCTGCTGGAGCTGGAGGTTCTTCGGCTACTGAGGGTGCTGGTGTCGTGGGTCCCGGAGGTGCTCGAACTGGGAGTACTGGAGCTGCTGGGCCTGGGGGTACGACTGGAGCTGGAGCTGCTGAGGGTGTTGGCGCTGAGGCTACTGCTGTCGGTCCTAAAGGCGGTCCTGCTAGGGGTGCTACTGGTGCTACTGGAGGTCCTCGAGCTAATGGAGCTGCTGGGGATGCTGGAGCTGGAGGTGCTGCTGGCACTGGTGCTACCACTAGGGGTACTGGTGCTGTCCCTGCTGTGTCTGGAGTCGCCGCGCGACCTCGGCCGTACTTCGTTCCGCTCCTTCAGCAGGTTCTTGGTCTTCCGCCTTCTATTGGTCCTCCTCCTCCCTTAGAGTGTCCACAGCCTGTCCCATCACAGTTACAGTTACAGCCGGCCTCCCCACTGCCTGCTCCTTCTCCCTATACTGGTCCTACTAGAGGTCTTGCTGAGCGTCGTGAGCCTGCGTCTCGACCTTCGTCGCCTGTCCGTCCTGCTCGCACTAGTGGTCGTGGTTCGCGTCAGCGTCCTCCTCCTGTCCCTGGCACGCACCGGATGTCTCTGCGTCCGTCCACTGCTCCTCTGCGTGCCCCTTTGCCTTCTCCTCCTGAGTCCTCTCTTCCTGCTCTTACCGACCCAGAGTCGGAGTCTCTTCGTGGTGCCAGTCCTACTGTCACGCGTCTCCTTGCTACTGTCGTCACTGACCCTTCCTTTGAGTCCACTGCTGCGTCTGCCCTAGTTGCTGAGCTCGTCGACTTTGCTGCTCGCTGTCGTCTAGACTACGCTGCTAGTCTTGTCGCTGAGTCTGAGTCTGTCTATCCTCCGTCCGTCGGGGGTGAGTGTGCCCTTGGCACGGACGTTCTTGAGGACAGGCAGGAGGAGTTCCAGTGCTTGGCTGCTGCTTCACCTCATCTCGTATCCGTACTGCTTACCCCTGAGGGAGACCCGGATGCACTTGACATCCCGACTCCGCGCTCTTACGCGGAGGCGATAGAGGGTCCCTACTCCTCTAAGTGGCAGGCAGCTATGGACACAGAGATGGCTTCCTAGAAGTCCACAGGCACCTACGTTGACGAGGTTCCCCCGCCTGGGGTGAACATCGACAGTGGCATGTGGATTTTCAGGGTGAAGCTGCCGCCGGGTTCTCCGCCTGTCTTCAAGCCGCGGTACGTGGCTCGTGGCTTCACTCAGCGGCAGGGAGCTGACTACTTTCCGAGCTTCTTTCCCACCCTGAAGATGACCACTCTTTAGGTACTGCTGCACATAGCTGCTCACCGTGACTACGAGCTGCACTCTCTTGACTTCAGCACTGCTTTCTTGCAGGGCAGCCTGCACGAGGAGATCTGGCTGCGCCGCCCACCTGGCTTCGCTGGGTCTTTTCCTCCTGGCACCCAGTGAAGCCTCCGGCGGCCAGTCTACGGTCTCCGCCAGGCACCGCGTGAGTGGCACGACATATGAGGACTACACTTGCGGCCCTTGGGTTTGTTCCCTCTACTGCTGACCCGTCGCTGTTTCTGCGCACCGACACTTCTTTGCCGCCGTTCTACATCCTTGTGCACGTCGACGACTTGGTCTTTGCCACAGCTGACACTGCTGGACTCGCCCACGTGAAGTCCGAGCTGCAGAAGAGACACACGTGCACAGACCTGGGTGAACTGCGCAGCTACCTTGGCCTGCAGATCACCCGGGACAGAGCACGCCGCACCATTACCCTGACTCAGTCACACATGGTGCAGCAGGTCCTTCAGCGCTTCGGCTTCACGTACTCCTCGCCTCAGGCCACTCCTCTGCCTACTCGCCACTCGCTCTCAGCTCTGCCTTCGGATGAGTCCGTAGAGCCGAGTGGCCCGTACCCAGAGCTTGTTGGCTGCCTCATGTACCTGATGACCTGCACACGACCTGACCTTGCATACCCTCTTAGCATCTTAGCACGCTATGTTGCTACTAGGAGACACAAACCAAAGCACATGGCTGCAGCAAAGAGGGTGTTGCGCTACTTGTGCAGTACGTCGGGCATGAGGCTTGTGCTTGGAGGGCAGAGTCCAGTGGTGCTCACTGGGCACGCAGACTCTTCTTGGGCTGACGACCAGGCTATGCAGCGGTCGTCACAGGGTTACACCTTCAGCCTTGGTTCCGGCTCTGTTTCGTGGCGGGCTACCCGCTCGTCCTCTGTTCTCGGCTCTAGTTGTGAGGCTGAGATCTACGCAGGACCCATGGCTGCACAGGAGCTTCGCTGGCTCACCTACCTGCTGACTGACCTAGGAGAGCCGCCTCGTTCTCCTCCAGTGCTGTACATAGACAACAAGGCCATGTTGGCCTTGTGTCGAGAGCAGAGACTGGAGCACAGAACGAAGCACATTGCTCTTCGCTACTTCCTTGCTCGTGAGCTACAGCAGCGTGGTCAGCTGCGCC